TATTTTAAATAGTCTTTCACCGAACCTGGAGCTCATTGCTGGCCAGGAAGCCCCCAGGATTTTCCTCTCTCTGTCTTCCCATTGCTGGAATTGTGTGCCAGTGCCACTGTGCCCAGGTGGGTGTCATGCTTATGCAACAAGCACATACTGACAGAGACATCTCTGCGGCCCTTTAGGTTTGGGGGCGGGGGGGTTGTTTTTTTTTTTTGGCCTTCTTTGAGACAGGATTTCCCTGTAGCCCCTGCTGGCCTGGAACTCACTAATGTAGACCAGGCTGGCCTGGAACCCACTAGAGATCCACCTGCCGTGCCACCATACCTGGCTAGCCCTTTAGTTTTATTTGATGTGTTTTTTGTTTGTTTCTTTTTGGACTCCACTATTACATGTGATTTTCTGAGAATTGCTTTTTTCAGTTGCTAATCTTGATATTATGAGGTTGATCCACATATTTCTTGACTTTTTGACTGAGATCAAGGACAAGAATGATCTTTTTAAAAAATACATTTTATATACTATTTTTATTTTATATGTATGTGTGTATTACCTGCATGTATGTAAGTGCACTCATGTCACCCATAGAGGTCAGAAGAGGGCAGGGTGTTGGATCTCCTGGATTTAGAGTTATGGATAGGACAGTTGTTAGCTGCCATGTGGGTGCTGGGAACCGAACATGGGTCCCCTGCAGTGTAAAAACAGGACCCAGGTTTAGTTCTTAGCACGCACCTGGCAGTTAACAACTATCTGTAACTCCAGTTCCAGGGATCCAATGCCCTCTTCTAGCCTCTGGGCATTACATACCATAGTGCACTTACTGGCAGGCAAAACACCCATACACATAAAATAAAAATAAAATAAGGGGCTGGAGAGGTGTCTCAGCAATTAAGAACACTGGCTGTTCTTGTAGAACACCCAGGTTTGAATCCCAGCACCCACATGGCAGCTAACAGCTGTCCGTGACTCCAGTTCCAGGGGATCCGACAGCCTGTTCTGTCCTCTGCTGGCATTGCGCGACACAGGTGCACTTACTTACCAGCAGGCAATACACTCATACACATAAAATAAAAATAATTTAAAAAGTAAATAAATAATAAGGTGGTTGGGCTTGGTCGTCCATGCCTTTAATCCCAGCACTCGGGAGGCAGAGGCAGGTAGATCTCTGTGAGTTTAAAGCCATCCTGGTCTACATAGTGAGTTCCAGGCCAGCTGGGGTTACAGGGAGCCCCTGTCTCAAAAAGACCGAAAAAAAAAAAAAAGTAAATAAATAAAAATAAATTAAAAAATGGTGCTTTGAACTTTGAATTTTCCTGATACAAGGTTAATACAAACCATTCATATTTCTTTTTAATACGGTATCTAGTCTTATCCTTGCATATTTTTTCCATTGGGTTGTTTTTTCATTTTCTTACTGTCTTAGAGGAATTCTTCACATATTCTGAATATCAAAGTAAGTTGGGAAAGTACCCCTCCTTTTTCCACTCTTTGAACTTGTTTGTTTGCTAGTTTCTGTTGCAGAGCAGCAGTTATTTTCCAAATATGGAATTAGTGCCTGGTGAGGAAGTGAGTTTCATATTACTTGAATTGCACAAACAAAAGTTGGCAATCACCTGCTGGGGTGCTTTTAGAGGGCTTTCAAACACCAGTTGAATAGGTTATTAGGATGAACTCTGAGTTTTCTATGAACCTGGGTTGCTTAAGGAGGCCTTTCTCCCATTATTCTCCATTACTATGTTTTCTTAAATTTTTTTCTGTTTTAAACTTGCATTCTTTGTGCATTTCATACAATATATCTAAATCATATTTAGACCCCAGGTTCCTCTATCTGCACTTCCCATAGCCCCT